GAGGTCCCCATGAGGAAACAAGCTTATAAATCATACAGAATTAGTTTTTTTGAGAAAGTAAAAATGCACAAAGTTTCCTGTAAGGGGTAGGTTTAGGGGTAGGGTTGGTGTAGGGCAATAGCACATACAGTTTGTACAGTATAAAAACCATTACGCCTATGGAGAGTCCCCATAAAACATGGAAACACAACATGAGTGTGTGTGTGTGTGTGTATGTGCGTGTGTGTGAGAGTGTGTGTGTGTGCGCATGTGTGTGTGTGTGAGTGCGTGCGTGCGTGCGAGCGTGCGTGCGTGCACGTTTGCGTGTGTGTGTGTGTGTGCTTACGTGTCTGTGTGTGTGTGTTGAAGAACTTTCTAAAGTGTGACAATGAAAGGAAAAAAGTCTCTGACTTTATAATATTCCATTATAAAACAGATCATTCCAGTCTCAGATGCTCAAGACTGCGTTGTGCCACAGTATAAGATTTAAATACTTATTTACAATACTGTAGTGTAACTCCATTAAAAAACAGCTATAAACCTAACATACTACACTGTAAAAATTACTGTATTACAACAAAAATACTGCAGTTTTATGTTTTACAAGAAAATACTATATCATCTTTTCTACTTAAAAATGTTGTTTCTTTGTAATTATTTGTTGACAGGTACTTTTAAGTATTTGAACACTATATAATAACTTGTCAGTTACTGTCTAGTCAGTAAAATTTGTAATGTTTTTGAAAGAAGTCAAGTGAACCACTGATTTGTCAGACCTGCTTTCTTGCAGCCTGTGTTCTTTCGACTTTATTTTGTAGTAAGTAATGAATATGCTTCAGGGAAATAAAAGTAAATATATAAATTTCAATCACCATTATTTATATAGTGCTTTTTACAATGCAGATTGTGTCAAAGCAGCTTTACATTATTAAACAGAGAAATATTGTGTTGAAATAGTGTTCTGTTCTCCTCTGGCCGGACAAAACCAGCAGTTTAATTCTAGGCTGCAGCAGAGTCAGATTGTGCAGAGGACTCATCTGGTTCCCGAAGTCTCTTCTGTTCACTAAGGCTGCATTTATTTGATCAGAAATACAGTAAAAACAGTAATATTGTGAAATATTATTACAGTTTAAAACAACTCTTTTCTATTGTAATAGATTGTAAAACATTATTTAATCCTGTGATGCAAAGCTGAGTATCAGCATCATTACTTCTGCTGAAAATCTTTTGTAACATTGTAAATGTCTTTACTTTTGATCAATTGAATGCATCCTTGCTGAATATTGCCTTATTATATTAGTAGTATGAATATAATAAAAGGACTGACCCAAATTACTTTAAGGGAAAAATAAAATAAAATAAAATAGACCATCAGTCTCTCTCTAGATATTAGCATCAGCTTCATCAGGGGTCAAACAAAAAGAAAATAATACTTTTATAAAGCAAAGATTCATGAAATTGTTCAAAAAGTGATGTTTATAATGTGACAAAAGATTTCCGTTTCAAATAAATTCTGTTCTTTTAAACTTTATATTTATCTGTAAATAAAATAAAATAAATGTATTAATAAATAAAATGTATTTATTATCTGTAAATAAATAAAATGAAAGAAAATTAAAGAATTTTGAATTGGAAAAAAAACATACATAATGTCTATATTAGGGATGCACCGATATGAACATTTTGGCCGATACCGATAACCGATCATTTTTTTTTATTTGAAAGCCGATAACCGATATGTTGGCCGATAAATCTATATCCAAATTTTTATATACTTTTTGAGAGCCTGATTATAAAAAAGGTCTCATCATTAAAAGCCACATCCCAAACACTTCAACATAAGCAGCCTAGTTTGAACAGTGTACGTTGTTAAAATAATGTTACTCTCCTATTACCAAATTTCATCATAAAAAGTCTTACAAATAAATAAAATAATGCATAAATAATGCAAACAAGTCATCTCATGTCAAGTGTCTCTGAAGGAAATAATGCATTATTTATCGGCTTTAAGATATCGGCCAAATTTTCTTATCGGGCCGATACCAATAACAGAAAAAATGAGCATTTATCAGCCGAAACCGATATGGTGGCCGATATATCGTGCATCCCTAGTCTATATAACTTATAATGACATAAATAAAATAGCCCCGAATCAGATTCAGTATGATCACTGAAATACCTTGAAACTTTAGATAAGTTAAAATGTGCTATTTCTATCTGATCTGACCAGTAACAATAGTGAATCAAAGGTTGATTCAGTCGTTTTTGTCTTGAATGAAGTATCTTATTTAGACGTTTCCACATGGAAATACACTTTAGGTTCCCTTTACAGTGTACGCTAGCTGATAATGTACATGAACGGCTTCATCAGTAAATGCTATATATATATATATATCAGCAGCTGATTTATGAAAACAATTAAAAGATTAAAACACGCGCTCAGGCAGAAACAGCTGAAATATCTGGTTCAATAGCTGCAAACTAAAGCACTGAAGAGCAGTGAAAAGAGCTCCAGATCCTCATTCAGACGCTGTAAATGTGAATCTGGCCCGTGTCTGTGCTGAATGCCAGGATTAGGAATTATGTAAGAGAGCGGGAAGAGTCTAAATACCAGCCATGATTGATCTGGAAGACGCTTTCAGCCGAGCTGTAGGTGTGCGTTTGAGCAGAGAGACGGTGGAATAAAGGCTAATCTGAATTTGCATCCGCCACGTTGTGTTAAAGGGGTCATGACAAGGATTTGTTTTTATCATTTTAATATGTTCTTTGAGGTTTACTTATAAGGTTAATACAGTTTTTTGCACAAAAAAAATAGTAATACTAATAATTATGTGGAAAAATGATTATTTTCAACCCTCATTCTGACCCTCTGTCTAAAACAAGCTGTGTTTAAAAGGGGCGTGTCCTTTAAGGCTAGTCAGTAATCAGCCGCTGTTATGATTGGCTAACGTCACTGCATAGTAAACAGAACCAACGCCCCCTTGCTATTGCATGTTGTGAGTGTAATACAAACATAATTCAAATTAAACGGCTATTTCCAGACAACAAAACCCCCTGACACAATCTGGGACGCCAGTAAAAATAAACTGTCCACTTGTTCCTTACGCTGGGATCCTTCTGATATCTGTACAAAGACGTGAACGAGCTGCTTAAACCAAACGCAAACGTTCTTTCACTCCATTTGTCCTGATGACAGACAGAAAGTGAACGCACATCTGTTCACTGTATCCAGTGCAGACAAGATAGCGCAGTGATTGTCATT